CTTTCCCTAAATGGGATGATAAAACTTGGAGAGATTCAGCTTGGGAGGTGGGGTGTTTCTCTGATTCAAATTAGCATGGGCTCACAGTTGATGAAGCGCGAGTTAGAATCACACAAATTGGACTTGAATTCTGGCTCTGTTGCCCTCAAGGCCCTGTAACCTTGGTCATGCAATCAACCTTTCAGAGCCTCAGTTTTTCATCTTTAAAATGTAGCGATTACCCGTCTTGTAAGATTGTAATGAGGGAATAATATAATAGCACTAAAAAAAAAAAAAAAAAAAAGTGCCAGGTACAGTTCACAAGCGGGTGGTGACCTGGGGCTGATGCTCAAAGCTTTTCTAAGAGTGGTGTGGAGGCAGCTCCCACTTTAGTGAAAGCCACCATGTTGGTTTGTCACTGGAAATGCCTTTGACTTTTGCATCTTCCTATTTGAGAGGCAGAGTGGTGAATTAGAATGTGGAGCATGACTATGGTGTCAGATAAACAGGGTTTATATGTTGGTTTTCCATGTTTATTAATTACATGGCTCTCTCAACCTATTTCCTCAGGCCTGAACTCTCAGAGCTGCCGTTGAGGAACAGCATTCATGCATGTGAAGTGCCCTGCACTGTATCTGATACATAGGAGGGACTCACTGATGATGCCATTTTTACCCATCTCATCTTCATGGTGTAGAATAATTCTTTGTAGAAGGCGTGGATGAAGCAGCAGTCTCATACATGGGATCACATATTCAAAGGCAGACTTTATAAATTATTTGATGGTTTAAAAGAATAGACATGTCTTTATAAATAGTATTTTTAAAAACATGTTGAATTACATCTGAAGCTTAATTTATTATCTGGCAAATGTGGCAACTACATTATCATTTCCTGCCAGTTAGATGTGTAAGAATGTTGACTGATTTCATAATAGAGTACAGATTGGATTTTAGAATGTTGAATAATTTGTTAGAAATAATAAAGATTATTTACTATTTTCTTACATTTGGGGAAGTTAAAATATATTTTAAAACCTTGGCTGTATCCTTAAGTGGAATTAGGGAAAAAGGGAAAAAGTTAAAATAAACAGATATGTAATTGGATATGAAAAGATCGCCCGTGGCAGAAACTATGAGACATTATATATGTCCAAATCTACTAGTTCTTTATAACTTCAAAAACAATTTCATGATAACAGTAGTCACATAAGACTGAAGTAAACAGTTCTTATATTCTTGTATGAATTTATTACCATCATTTTCCTATTATCTATACTAATGGATTATAAATTCATTTTAATTACAAGTAGTAAACACAACTTTGTTATACTGCTTCAATGAGCATAACACCATTTCTAATTCAGTATGACTTTGACACCTTTCAGTTAAAAAACGATCCAACTTTAGCAAGAGATAAATGAAGTTGATAATTATCTGGCGAGTTTAGGTTATGTGCTCAGTTTGGATCAATTAGATCTCAAGGTGGATTTTGCACTCTATGGGAGTATTGGCTGTGTGGACACGGCCAGTGTTCAACAGATAATTGCCACATTTAGTCTCCCCTTCTTTGTAACTTGGAACTTGCTGTTGCAGCGAAGCAAAATCTCATATGCATATACACTTGAAATATTTAGAACTTTTAAATGGGTGAAACCACAATTAGTCCTAGAATTAGAAGATTCAGTGAAGCTGTTTGGATGTTTTCAGCTTGCTTGCTTCTTGACTGAAGCCCCTTGGCATTAATTACACGTTGAGTTCAGCCAGCTACATTTGGATCAGTTTTTATTTTCTGTCACAGAAGTAACTTACGCATGGTAACTAGTGCTTCAAGGAAAGTGTTCTGATTCTTTCAGAAATAGGCCAAGGAATTCTAGTAGAACATGGGTTTCTCTTATGCAAGGAAAGCGATTCTGCAAATTTCCTTTTAAACCTTCTTCCTTCTCTTTGCAGATCATGTGTAAAATGGCTGGAGTTTTTTTTTTTTTAAGATGAAAAAAAAGAAAACCTAATTGATATGAACTTTTTTGTGCTAAAGAAATTATTTATACCTGGAGTTATTCCACTGAATCGGCCTGAAAAACAGAAAGATCATAGTGTGTTAAGACTGGAAGGAGATCTTCAGAGTCTGGTTGACCCCCATTTTTACAAAAGAGATATAGGCAGGCAACTCGCCCACAGCCTGTGTCACACAGGGGGCGGGTGGCATAGCCAGGATAAGAACCCAAGCTTCCTGGCACCGCATTTATGTGCTCTTTCCAATTTCGGCTGTCCTCAATTTTTTATTTTGTTTGGCAGTTGGGCTTTTTGACAGCTGGGTCTGCACATTTTGATAAGTAGAAAATTTTTTTAGTGTATGAATGATTGAGGTGGAGACAGCATACTGTGTTACAGAAATACTTGATGGGAGAACTTGAAGTAAAATAGACTTTAACTCAGAGTCCCTTTTCTCATAACCGAAAATGAAGTCTCTGACTATGTAATAACCAAATAGCTTATGGCAAATGTCTTTGACCTTTTAGAACAGAAGAATCGATAACAGAAGATGACAAGAGGAGGTATGTTTGATGCTGAAGCTGGCCTTAATTTGAATAATTTTGGCCACACCTCATGGATTTAATTTAACCTGCATTAATTCACGGATTTAACACTTGTAGCACACTACCAATAATATGGATTCACTAGGAAAACTTTTGGCACAGAATGCGTGGTCTGAAAAATTCCCAGGACTTGTTATGTTTGCTTCTTTCAAGCAAGTTCAGTTTTGGTCCTGTGCACGTAGCCTGCAGTAGTTTCCATCTTGTGGCCTTTGGATGTGTCATCCTCCCTAACCGGATGACTTCCCTTCGTTCTCTCGGCCTTCTCTGTCCTCCCATCCCTCCTCTGGTTAACTGCACCCTACTCTCATGACTTCTTAGCTCTCTCTCTCCTAATTTTATGTTTATGTCTACCTACAGATGAAATATTTTTGTGTATCGATAGCACTGAATACGTTGTTGACTGAATTCTTGTAAATGTTACTTGTCACTCCAACTGATATTTATTACGATACTAAATTATAACATCCCAACTTCTTTCTTATTGCAAGTAAAATGTCTAAAAATTCTAACTCAATACAGCTTTCTCTTTTTATACACAGCTCCTTTTTAACAGAAAAAAAAACCAATTATATTTCGAAGAGCGATAATATTCTGAATTCTACTTCTGAAAAATTATCGATTATTTTAATAAACCTGTAATTGTTTGAAGTATTCTATGTTTCTATCACTTTCTGCAAATAATGTACTATTTAAATTGGTCTGTTTTTTCTATATCTGCTTCTTTTTATTAAGAAACTATGGGGGAGTATATGTTGGTCTCCCATCTGAAGCTGTCAGTATGGTATCCAATCAAACAAAGACTGTTCGAAAAAGTAAGTAAAATCGCATGATATTTATTTTCTCTATTTTATGTTTTGTGCAAAAATATGAAATTTATATTTCAGCTTGCTTGACTCAACCTACATATTACTGAGTGGCAGTGAACCATATATATGAACCATGGATCTGTTCATTATAATCATTTATTAAAATTGCCGCCCATTTGATGAGATTGTCATTCCAAAGCAAAGTCTAGCTTCTATGTGTGGTTATGCTGCGTGGGTATTTTTAATTTTTTATTAGTTTCAGTGATGGTCAGTATGAAAATGAAAGCTAATGTTTCGGTCAGTTTAGGGAGTTTTTGCAGAATACAAAGGTAAATTCTTGTGATGCATTAGAAAGATGACTCGCTCATAATCAGCCTGGTGATTAGAGGAAAAATAACTGTTTGTTGTATAATTAAATGAAGTAAGTCTCCTTTTTCTGAGCTGTGATAGTCATTGTGGGGTAAATGAAGTCCTTTTGACTACAGCCTTGTAACTTCTTGCTTACATAAATTTTTCAGTGAGGCTTGTGGTAAAGAATGTTGATTTACTGAGTGCTGTACAGTCATCTCATGTATAGTTTTAAAGGACTGTTAATATGTTTAATTTGCACACCAGGCTGTATTACATTAATTTTAACATACTCTAGCGATTTGTTCCTCATTGCTATTTCTCTATGATTTAGACTAGCAAATACATATATGTCACAACTATTTGTAGTTTTATAGAAAACTAGAATATGTTCTTTATAATCTGAATATTTAACTTTTCTTAATTTTCTCTTTAAGATTAGAAGAAAATATTGCGACTCAGTAATCAAGAGGTACTGTATACTTTCCTAAATAATTGTGTATATTTAGCCTTCATGATGATTGAACTATAGATATTATTGCTATGTATTTCTAAGAAATCTTGGACTTCAAGATTAGGAAGGGATTTCACCTTATGGTTCAATCTATGGAACCAAAGATGGTTTATTGTAAAGAGGTCTTTAATGATTAGATCAGTTGTTTTAGCAGTTTAAAATTTTTTAAATTTTCTTTCAAGTGCAGCTTAATTCATTTAATAAGAACAAGCCAAGTGTTTACCAGAAACACTGAGGTTTTATTTTTTATTGACAAGAACTTTGAGGGGCTAGGACCTTGGAAACAAAGGAAAGAGTGAAAGAGCGGAGAGCTGGGGCTGGGAATTAGATTAGGATCAATATGAAGTGTTTGACGGTAGCCAGGTGTTCATTAGTATACAGAGAGGAAATGTATTAGTACCAAAACTCTGCTAGAGATGGGCAATTATCAGTGTAGAGAGATGCAGTTATACAGGAAAGGATAGTAAAATGATAGGCCAAGTTTACTGGTTGGGTATCCTAAAATATGTCCAATATGGACAGAGGAAACCATGGTCTGAAAGATGAAGCACTGTGGCCCCGGGATCCTAGTGAAGAGCTTGGAGTTAGAATTATAATAAGATAAACAAGAATTTAAGATTGTCGTTAGGATTAAATAGGAAATAAATGGTAGCTTCTGCTATCAGCAGTGACATCACCATCATCACTATTATCATCATCATTAGAATATCATTCGTTTTTGTAACCAGCATCCAGCCATTGGCAGACCCAAAGCAGGACTGATTTGCTATGGAACCCACTTCTTGCTGAGGGATGCCCCTGGAGTTTGGGATGGGAAGGGGTCACAAAATAAGCTCCCAGGTGAAGATAAATAAGCTTTCTCACCAGGGAATGGGGACGCAGAGGCTGTAACCAGTTCCTTCCTGACAAGAAGTGTAACAACCTTGGGTAGCCACTTCTTCGAAGGCTTTCCCATCAAGGCGACACCATCATGGATCTTTATTCCCTAGTGCCCACAGCCACGTTAGGTGTTGAGTTTCTCTTTGGAAATCTGCTGCAGATTTTCTAAGTTGCCTGCCAGTTTTCCCCTATGCAGGGAACTTTTATTAGTTGCATCAAAGAGCAAATATAATCTAGTTGAAAGGAAGCATATGTTACTGTTCACCCTCCTGAAAACATGGTATATTTCAAAAAGCATGAGAATAGAATGGAAAAAGGTGCCCCGTCGATAGTGTCCTGAGACTTGGTAGCTGTATTAACCTAGGGCCATAGTTGAATCCTATACTTTCCCTAAGCTTCTCTGTTTTAGTTTTCTCATGAGAGACAAGATGATTGCTAATTTTGTGTGTGGATCTAAAATTCCCTGATAACAATTCAGCATTGTTGCTGGTAAGCCAGCCTAGATACCTTTAGACAGCTAGCTGGAATATTTTCTTAATGCTCACGGTTGTAAATACATATTTTATTGCCATCCTTCTCTTTTCTCGGTTTTCCCTATTTCTACACAATGAATTTGATCCTGCTCCTTCTTTTGCCTCCTTTGAATTACCTGAAAAGTTTTCTAAGTTGAAAGGATGTCCATTTTTTTCTAGTTGCTAAACATCCATTGTGATATTTATTCATAAAACTTCTGAATTCACGGCTTTTGGGGCTTAGATTATTGGGCAGGAACCCTGATAGGAAGACAATCCTTTGGAGAGGAAGACGTGTTTTGGAAAGAATTGGAGACACTTTTTTTGACCTAACATTAAAATCTCTTTTGAAATAAAGCCACTGAACTCACTCAGTGACCAAAGTCCAAAGTTGACCTGGTTACTTTTTGAAGCAAATTGAGGAGTTATTTCGGAATCTTTTAAAAATACTTACATCACGATACAAATGTGTAGTTTCTTCTACAGATGACTCGAGGGCGAAAGGTTTGCCCATTTAGATGAGTACCGGCAGCACAGGGAGCTTAAGTGATGGCCTCAGATGCCACTGGATGGACTAGCTACATCAGAAACCCCTTTTCCCAGGGAAGCTCGATGTAGCGTGGATGGCTAGGCCCCTCCCAGTAGGGTCTGCTCAAGGTGGGAAAGAATGGGATTGTGGCCGAGCAGTCTGTACCTTTACTTTGGGCGATGTTGACATGCAGCTAGGTTTGCGTATTCTCATGGTGTACCTCAGCTGTAAGTTTATAAGTCTCTTTCTCCACCTGACTTTGTCTCCTTATGTAAGTATCATCATCAGCGGTTAGCACTATGTTGACCACATATTAAGTCTTAAATAAATATTAAGCGAATGTCGAATGTGTATTTTACTTAAACGAAAACCAGCAAATAATTTATGGGCTTAAAGCTTATATATTTTTACTGAAGTTGTACCTTTTCAAGGTTGCTAACTCTTTTCCCTTTTTTCGTTTGTTGTTTTCATAGCTTGCTCATCAAGATTTAGAAGGAATTTCGCTCCATGGAACATTATCATGTTGCACATATTTCCAAGGAAATTCTAAACAGTCACCTACCCCCCTCCCTCCCCCCACCAATTTTTTTTTTAAGTCTATAGTTAAAACCATGGGTGCATGTTGAATGACGTGGTCCTAGAAAGGAATTGGTTAAACAGTACATTTGTGTGTGGAACTTTCCGTGGTCACCTGTGATAGACAAGCTCACAAACCACCGCTGCCCAGCCAGCCTGCTCAGGCCTCCAGCAGGATTTTCGCCCTGGCCATTCAACACCATTCATGAAGATCATGTCTTTTCATTGATTCCTTTTTTGATAGTTTTTATATAACCAAATCCTTATTCTATTTATAACTTAAGATAATAAGGCGTTATAAATGAATTACCTAAAATAATATATTTGTTGGTTATCTTTCACTATTTCTACTTCACATTAATTTTCAGCTGTTAAAATTGTGAATCGATTCTTA